GAGGTCTGAAAGGGTCAGCGATTTGCAGGCCAGGAGCAGACGCAGGCCCCGTGTCCGGGTCTGTATGTCAGGGCCCCCGTCACCACTTTCTCCCTCCCCACTGGCCTGGGTGGGAACACACCCGTAGCTCCAACACCCGCCAGGTGTCTGGTTTGGCTCCGCGGGACTCTCACGCCTTTCCTCTGGCCTCTGGGCGCTCTTGATGAATATCCCTGTCCTACCCTTGAGACAGAGGCCTGAAGCTGAGCCTGAATTAAACCTGAGTGGAGGCGCTTGGAATGAGAATGTGGTCTGAGATATTTGTTAAGGTCTATGAGGGAGGAATGGAACTTAACCTATTAGCCTTTCTTAGTTTATTCGCCTCATTTCTATTCCACTTGATGTTCTGAAATTGCCGTTTATTAACTGTTCCATGAACACGCATGTCTTTGCGGAGCGCTTGCTGCGTGCCGCGCGGTGGCGTGCGGCTGGGGGCGCGGCAGCGTGGACTTTCAGGGTGGGAGCAGTGGAGACACCGAGAGGGCAGGCGGACAGGTGTGGCGCTCTCGAGACAGGAGGAAGGCCCAGAGAAGGCTTCGGGATGTACTGGGGGCCTCTGGCTCCAAAGCCCTGGGGCGGGCGCGGGCTTGGAGGAGGGAAGCGGGGCAGCGAGGAGGGCGGCGTGGCTGGAGCAGACCAGAGCCGAGCACGAAGGCCGGGGCTGGACTGTGGATTTAATTCTGAGTGTGATTGAAAGCCTCCGGGGGTTCTGGAGCTCTGACTTGGGTTTCTTTTGGGTTTTTTTTCATAATTAAAAAATATTATTATTATTATTTTTTTGTCTGCGTTGGGTCTTCGTTGCCGTGCGTGGGCTTTTCTCTAGTTGCGGTGAACTGGGGCTACTCTTCATTGCGGTGCACGGGCTTCTCATTGCGGCGGCTTCTATTATTGCGGAGCACAGGCTTGAGGCGCGCGGGCTTCCGTAGTCGTGGCACGCATGCTCAGTAGCTGTGGCTCGTGGGCTCCAGAGCGCATGCTCAGTACTTGCGGCTTGTGGGCCCTAGAGCGCAGGCTTAGTAGTTGTGGCGTACGGGCATAGTTGCTCAGCGGCATGTGGGACCTTCCCGGTCCAGGGATTGAACCCGTGTTCCCTGCACTGGCAGGCAGATTCTTAACCACTGCGCCACCAGGTAAGTCCCCTGACTTGGGTTCTTGAAGCATCCCTCTCGGGAGACTGGCAGCTCGGATTCAGGTGGGAGGGCAGGAACTGGGGAGGAGTGGTCGGGTTCACCGTTTGTTCTGAAAGCAGAGCCAATGGCATTTGCTGATGCGTTGAGTGTGGGGTGGAGAAGGAATGAGTTGTTCGGATGGGTAATGGCGTGTCTAGATGTGCACACCTGAGAAGCTTCTGTGAGCATTGGCACTTGGGGAGATTCAAATCCAGGAGGCTCCTGGCAGGAGATGGGCCATCGGAATAAGGACTTTCTCTGGAGCTGCTGCAGCAGCTTCCTGGCTGGTCTCGACTCTGATTCCGGGGTTGTGTTTCTAAACGAGGGTTGGCTACTTTCCACTTCCCCGAGATCAGCAGTATGTCTCATTGGCCTTCAGACCAAGTCCAGGCCAGCCCAGTGGCAGTCAAGGCCTCATCCTAGCGTCCCACCCCATCTCCAGCTATTTTCTTGGCTGCATTTACCGATGTTCCGGACACATCAAACTCCCCCCTCCCCGGCTCCCCCGCCCATGTTGTCATAATCATACCCACTGCCTTACTTTATGCTCCTCATATGCCTCTACCTTTCAAGAGGCTTTGGAAGCATAGTCAAAATTCTGCCTTCTCCAAGTTCACATCCCATATCCTTCACGATGGAATTATTTCTCTAATAAAACTTGATTTGTACATGTAGTCTAGTCACCATTTAATCTTCCTCTATATTACAGTTGTATATCTTTAAATGTATGTTATACATATTTATATTGTATTTTTGTATATATTGTATATTTTGTGTTATAGTCATATAGCCCTATAATATTGCTTTCATTAACATAAGGTTTCTGTTACTAGATTATGTACTTCTCAGGGTGAAACTGGGTCTTACCCTGTATTCCAGTCTAACCTAGATTTTTAGAACCTCAGTCAGTGATCTGAATCATATTGATTCATTAAAGGTAGGCAGGGGCTAAGAGAACGGTTCTGAAGCATCAAATGCCCTCTGATTACAGCTCTTAACGGTACATGAGGGTGATAGTAAAGGACTTGTAAAAACCTGGAAATTGGGTAGTTTTCTGTTTCAGATGCAGCTAGCACTCTCCAAATAATCCAGTGGTCCACCATGTTTCCCAGCTTCCTTTGCAGTTGTATTGGCCACGTGACTAGCTCGGATCAGTGAAATGTGAACGGGAAGTCAGGGGTCACTTTGGCTGAGGCTCTTAGGAGCCCGTGCTCTCCTCCATCTTTGTCTCCCTCTGCTGCAGTCCGCCTATAGCCATGCGTTAGTACGCAGAACACAGAGTGGATGGAACCTGGATCCAGACTCATCAGATGGAGAAGGGCCCTGCCATCTCACATTAGACCTCGCAATGATATGAAATAAATGTTGTGCTAAATCAGTGAGATTTTGATTTGCTTGTTACCTCAGCATAGCCTATCTTATCCTGACTACTGTATCTTTTCAAAGTAGAGCTAGTAAATTCTGCATACGATGGCCTTGATTAGCCGTTCGAGAAAGCAAAGTCAGAAATGGTCTGTCTGTAATTTGCAAGGCATCAGACATCACATTCTGGATGATTCAGAGAATGAGCTCATGGAGGCAGAAATAGAATATGATTGTAAGCAAACATACAAACAAACAGCAGAAATCTAATCTGTTGTGATGTCCTGTGTTTCAGAAGGAGGGTGTAGAAAGGGAGATGAAGAGCCAGAAGTTGGACATGTGCTTGAGAGAGGGTGTCTTGTGGAGGAACAGCATCTGGCCATTGGGAAGGTGTAGCTACTGTGGCGATGGGCGCACCAAGTTGTTTGGGCCAGATGTCATTTCACATTCAGATTCTGTAACTTCCTGCTCCTGACGTGAAGCCGTGCTTGTAGTATAACCTCCAGATAATACTGAACTTGCCATTAGTTTGTACAAAAGGAGAGAAGACCTTCATGCGCTATCATACATACTAGCGGGTTTCATCGACAGGTCATTCTCTAGCCAGTTAATTCTCTAGCAGTCTACTTGTTTGTATCAGCCTCTGTAAGGCAGTAAGTTCATTCATGAGAGATGGAAATCAGGCTCCATCTGTTGAGTCTGTGGAAATCAGACCCAATCCGCTGGCAAGCCACCTTGTGAGGTCTTTAGGCAGCCAGGTGGGCAGCCAGCCAGCCAGGTCTCAGACCCTCCCCAGGCTCCACCACTCAGCATTGCCCTGGGGGTTGTACTTGGTACAGCACGTGTTCTTGACCTGCACCCTTCAGAGGCTCCCAGGAACGGAGCTGACTGGGAAACAGTCAGCTTTGTCTGCATGATCTCATGAGCCTTTACATTAACATTGGAGGCCCCAAAACACCCCATTAGAGAAGCTTCTCCTTGAAAGTAAGGTTGATTGTTGCACTGAAAAATGTATAGACCCAACCATAAACAGTACTGATTTTTGTTTACTTAAATGAATTTTAGGGAGAGGAGTCATGCAAACATACTCTAACTCTGCCATTTCCCCCAGAAATCTCAAAGACAGTTTTGGATCATCAACAATATGTATATTTGCAGCTGTGTGTTTGAAAGCTACCAGCAAATCCATTCTCAAATAAAGAGTTGTCTCTCATACGAGCATCATGTTTTGGAGATTTTCAGTTCCCTTTGTTCTCCTTTCTGATTCCAGACTTGACATATTGGTTATGTTCTCATGTCCCAAATACCAAGCCCCAAACTAAAAATAGAACACAAATCTTTGTTAATGTTTTTTAATAGTAAAAATATTCATATAAATAAGAATTTCTAAAAGTGTAGAAGTAATAAAAAAAAATAGAAAATAGGACCCTTTCTAGTTCCACCCCGTAGAAAAAGGCACTGTGAAAGTTTGGTGAATATCATTCCAGATCTTCTCCCTACACATATACAACCGTATGTTTTATTATTTACAAAAATGGGATAATTTTATGCATGCTGTCTTACAATGTGCTTTTTTTCTCTCGGCGACATATCTTGGGCATATTTTTCATGTCAACGCACATTTGTATGTTTTAGTGGCTGCGGAATATTCCATTTTATATGTGTACTATAATTTATTTAGCCAGTCCCCATTGCATTGCTCTCAATTTTTCACGTTTATAAACAATCCTGAAATGAATGTCCTTGATTACAGATCTTTGAGTACTACATGGTCTTAATATAGTTAAGTTTCTAGATGAGAAAGAAAGAATTCTGTATTTTAAGTTTTAGGTCAAAAGAATTCTGTATTTTAAATTTTAATAGCTTCCGCCCAAAGGTCTGTACAGTTTACACATTCACCACCGCCATGCTGGCATCTTGGTTGGATTTGCATTTTGATAATCTTAGACAAAAGAAATCTCAGGGCTAGAATCTACTGTGCAACGTAGAGGTGTAATTTTTGAATTACTAAAATGCAAAAATTACCCCATACAATGCCATTTTGGTCGTAGTTTCATAAGCACAAAATGGTAACCATGACTCCTGAGTGAAAGCAGAAGTGCAGCCCATTCTGACATTCTCTGTCGAGTTCCCACCTCTCAGCTCCCAACCCTGACAAAGACAACCATACACATGTGAGGAGGTTTGCTGGGCCGGCTGGAGTAGGAAGTGCTTTGCTTTAAATCTGCCTTTTACAGAGGAGTCAGTGGGCTGAAATGGAAAGGTCCTTAACTCCCACACTTGCTGGCTCTGCACCCTTGGTGCGTCACTAATTCTCTCTGAACTGATTTCTTTATCTGCCTAATGGCATTTTGTGAGAACTAACTGAGAAATTAGACGTTAAGTCCCTAACCAATGCCTGACATGTAGCATTTGCTTGTTTTCTCCATCAGCCGAGCATCCTTCCTCTGTGGAGAATAGAGCTGCTGTTCTAGGACCAAACTTCACTGTGACAAACGACTCCAGTTTTAAACCATCTCCTAGAGAAGGGTAAGTATTACTTGTAGGGATTCTCTATTCCTCTTGACTTGTTTTCAGTGTATTGGACATTAAGGTACATTGTTGAACAGGACACTTTTTCTGTTTGTTTTTTCAGAGCAATTTTCTCTAAGAGTCTTAACCATGTACATTTGGTTTTGCCAAGCACATTGTGAAATAAGTCATATTACTGTTTGGCCACATTATGTAGATATAGCTCATTATGTTTAAATCTGCCTGTTGTTTCAAAGGTAGCTCTGTTGACGCTGGTTCCAATGGGGGTGACTGTCGCCAAATGAGACCAGAGTTGGGTCTGTGAGGCTTTTCATTCCGTGCACATGTGAAATTGTTTCCTGGGTGAGCTGTTCTCTACCTGAGGTTTGAAGAATCTGTCACTTGTGGTAATTTCCTTCTACCTGATGGTTTAGCCAGACTCTTGCTATGCTTGTGCCCATTCAAACTACTCCAGGGTGTTCTCAACCACATGGCTGCCCATCTGGAGTATCCAAAAGGATCCTGGTGGATACGTGGGAAGCAGCTGCAGATGGAGACTATTCCTGGAGAAATGCAAAGAGCCCAGTAGGCTGGTGGGGAAACAAGCCCTGGACAGGAGGGAGGCAGCACAACCTAATTCATTATCTTGCTTTTATTTAACCACCATCAAAGCTGGGGAGTGTAATGAATAGTATCCTTAGTCTTCAGATGAAGAAATGGGAATTCACAGGTTTAATGACTAAGTCTAATGAGATTTGTAAAGCTCAAGCTTGGGCTCAAGACTTGTGGTCCAGTCCAGTGGGGAAGACTGCGATGGTAGTAGCACCCCAAAACTGTCCCTGGGCTGCAGATGCAGGAGGCCCAGATTCAGCTTGCACAGCAAAGTGTCAGGGTTCAGCCACATACATGAAACTCAACGGGAACACCACCTAGTCGGAAACTAGAGGGAAACTGAGGTAGACGCCCTGTTCTATGGAGTGTGTTGCTGAAGCCAGAGATGGAAGGACCAAGGATGTCAAGGTGTTCAGGGCTCACCTCAGATACCAGTTGCTTCACCCAGTCCAAGATCCACCTGGGAGAGGTTGGAGGCTGTTAACTTATCCTAGTTCATCAGGGTTCATTAGGTACGAAGCATGGCAGAGCTCAGGAGAAATGAAGCCTCATGACTTCAGGTCAGAGGGGCTGCAAACAGCAGGGACTGTATGTAGGTTTCACAGTTTAGCCCACAGAATTGCCCTATTCCAGATGCTTCTTCTACCTTCCTTGCTTCACCTCTGCATTGTCGATTGAGTGCAGCAAGCAATGCCAATGATGCCAGACTGTAATGGGCTTCGTGAAAGTGCTCTGAGCCCACTTGACCAGGTTCTCTCCTTTCCTGTTGGAATGAGTCAGCCCATCATTGAAACGTGTGCTGTTCGTGTGGCAGACTTCTGTGGCTGATAAAGCTCTGAGTGAAGTTTAGGCTGCCACGTGACCTCGGTCCCCTTCAAGTTTATACCTGTTCATAGTTCTATTTAGTCTGCAAAGTCACTTGTAGATAATAACAGCTTTTTTTTTCTGTTATATTCTCCAAGAATCCAGTTACACTAAGCCTCTTGATACAGGTTCATGAGCTCAGATCATGCTCATGACCAATTGATTGGGAGTTTTTCTACTCCCCTCCCAACCCTTCAGCCGCAGATTAATATCTAACGTCTTTCTAGAAGGCTGATAACAAAGTATCTTTGTAAAGAGCAAAGGCTTTTTTTTTTTTTTTTTTAAAGCTGAATTCTGGTTGACCAAGTTTATTTTCTGTTGAAGCAGAGAATAACTATAGAAGGCACAGACCTGGCTGCTCAAATGCTTTCTTTTAAAATGAGTGTTTTCATTGCTCTAAATTAGAAGATGCTGAGGGTGATGGAGTGAGAAAGTCCAGGCAGGGCCTTCTGTTTAGCTACGATGTCCAGTTCTTGCAGTGATATGGAGAAAAGCAAAGAAAGTGATGTGTTGAAAGGCAATGGTGCCATTTTCTGTCTTATTTATCTCCTGCTCCTTGTTTTTATTTTTAAGGAATTAAAGGTAAATAATTTGTACTGAAATACATAAGGATAAATATTGGGTGGGGTGTTTCTAGCCACTTTTCTGTCTGAAACTTTTTGATCCTTTTGGGTAAGAAAATCAAATGTGTGTCCTTTGTTATATAAACTCCAAGGGATTGAAAGCTAGGAGAGAAAATATAATCAGTAAAGCTTTGGCTTAATCAAGCTTCTAGACCCAGTGACCAATTTATAGGAAAATAAGACACAGGAGCATGTTAAGAGACATCATGGGATGCAATTAGCAAAACTCAGATATAGGAAGTTCTAAAGAACAGATAATCTAATTTCTTCTTCTTCAACAACATCAACAAGACATGGGAAAAATAAATGGGGGAACCCATAATTTAAAAGAGATTTAAGATATATAACTGGGCTTCCCTGGTGGCGCAGTGGTTGAGAGTCCGCCTGCCGATGCAGGGGACGTGGGTTCGTGCCCCGGTCTGGGAAGATCCCACATGCCGCGGAGCGGCTGGGTCCGTGAGCCATGGCCGCTGAGCCTGCGCGTCCGGGAAAAAAAAAAAAGATATATAACTAATAGTAGTGTATGGACCTTACTTGGATCCCAGTTCAAATCCCTACCTAAAAGATTTATAATCTTGGGATAATTGGGGGACAGCCCAGTAGCAATGAGAACTGCTAACATTAGACTGTGGGCTCTAATATCACTTTCCCCTAAAAGAAACCAGGGTTCCTTAAAGAAGTGGCCACTTCCATGCATAATATACAGTGTGAATTTAGAAAGTCTTGTCATGTCAGTTAGCAAGGAAAATGGCAAAGACTTCTAACATCATCTTAGAACTCAAGAGCTACCTTGGTCAAAGATGGGAAATATGGGCGTCAATAAGAACAATTACTGCAGTGGATAGAAATAGTTCAAATATGCTTAAATTCATGAGTTCATAATGCTACTTTAAAAAGTGCAAATGAATTGGTCATTACTGGAGGATGCCAAGGAACCAACTCATTATTTGAAACCTGGTAGACAAGAGGGAAAAATCAAGCGTTTATTCTTCCTTTTAAATATGAACTGTGCCATGAGATAGTCAAAAGAAGACAGGAAGTTTCTCACTCTAGAAGTAATCCAACTAATAATTGAATAAGAAATATTACCTTTTTGTAACCATTAATTAATGGATGAATCTAGGCATTGAGCATGAATGAATACTAATATCACAACACTACAAACAGATATTGTGCACCCCTGCAATGGAAGAACATAGTACCCCTATGACACAGTCTTGACAAAAAGTACTCGAACGTGCTTAAGCCTCTAGATCCAACTACCAATTTATAGGAAATACAGATGACAGGGAAACATGTTAAACTGCACCATGGGGCTACAATCACCCAAATCCAGATGGTGGGAACTTTCACAGGACAAACAATCCAGTTTCTTCAACAAATGTATTGCAAGGAAAAGAAATAAGGGTTGGAAAAGGAACCTCTATGCTCGAAGGCAATTTAAAGGATGTAAATCAATTGCAATATGTGGATCTTCTTTAGATGTTATTTTTAAAAAGTGTCCAAATTCTAACAAACTAGTAAATGTTAATGACATTCACGAGATCAGGATATTTGAACACTGTCTAAGGAATTATTATTTTGTTACATGTGATACTGGTATTGTGATTATGTTAGACTCTTTATCTTTTATAGGTATATATTGAAATATTTACAGAAATGATATGAGGCCTGGGAGTTACTTCAAAAGCATAAGGTTAAGGGGAGTCATCTCCTGGGGTGGAGATGAGCCAGACAGACCATGGGTTGATGGCTGTTGGAGCTAGGTAATGCACATAGAGGAGGTATTATTTTGCCTTTTTGGTGTATGTTCAAAATTCGACATAAGAAAAAAAAGATTATTTTAAAGGATAGGTAAATGTGAACACTGACTTGGTGTTTAATTATGTTGAGGAGTTAATGTTATTTTTAAAGTTTGTGGTAATTTGGATTTACACCTTTGAAAAGATAAAATAGTTTCTGGGATTTGCTTCAGATCATTGGTGCTTGTAGGGATAAAAATGAAATAAAAGTGTCCACTATTGTATAAGTTTGAACATTTCCTGAATTATAGGTAACATACAGAAGCTAGGCTAGGCTGTAATTAAAGGAAAAAAGGGCTGTAGCATGGAGCAGTTAATGTAAAAGTGCCTTGTGTCTTTGACTAAATTGAATGAAAGCCAAATGTTCATTTTTATTTTTCATGCTAAGCTTTTGGGTTAGCAAAAACAAAACCTAAACACAAATGCATTTAAGGCAAAGTGAATAGAAATATATAAACCTGTTGGCAGTAAAGAATTCTTCTTTGTAGCAATCGTATAATAAAACAAGGAATTAATTTCTCAGCCCCATCTCCTCCCCCGTATCATCTGAAGGTCAGTAATGCTATTGTGTGTAAGATTTCTAGTGTCATTTATATAAACTGCCTACTAAATTAAGTTCCTAAGTTAAACTTGAAATTTATCAGAGTTAGACCTTGAAATTCATACATGCGAGAAAAATAGGTAAAGTCGCATATTACAAAAGAGAAAAGGTAAGTACCCATTTGTTTGAGCTTTAAAATGTACTGAAATGAGATAAGAAGCATGTTTTTATCAAAATGGTAAGAGCTACAAAAAAAAAAAAGACGATTATATAAGGTCTTAGATTCTAGATGCTGAAGAGTAGATGGAGAGGGTGGCGGGAAGAAGACATTTGGCAAAGTCAGAGTCAGAATCTGTGGAGTTCAGAAGTCTGAAGCACAGGGGGCTGTGGATTGCTTGCTCAACCTCCATTCCACTCTGCTTCTAGTTGGAGATGTTGGGACTCTAAACCTGTTGCATGGCAGATTCCCTTGCAGCAGGGATTCTGCATGAGAATTAGGTCTTGCCGATTATACATGCCTACGTTTGGATTTGGAAGGCAGACGTGAGGTGGAGGCCGTCTCATTTTCATTTCTGGGGAGGCTGTCCTGCAGCAGCACTGCAGTTTGCTTTCTCCAGGCTCCTGGGTACTGAGAAGCAGTTGCAGAAGCAGAGCAGCTGTGGGGACTTCCAGACTCTGGCCTCCTTGTCCCTGGTTTACAGCTATGGGAGTGGGTCTGGAACCCATAGCTTCAGTATGAACCTCAGGCTGGTAGCTGGTCTGGTGGCTCCATCTGCACTGTTGTGGGAGTCCCTGCTATAGGCTCATCCCAGAACTTGTCTGTCAGCCCTTCCAAAGACTTTGTAAGCACCCAACTTCCTGGATTAAATTTCTTTCTGTTTAATACATCTAGCATGACATTGTTCATGATATTGCTGATGGAAACAAGCAGCATTTAAAAGCGTTCACGCTTTCACAAATGAATGTTAGGCCTTCCAAAATTCACCTTTTCTTCCCCACACACAATTACCAAGGCCTCACACGTCCAGCCCCATCATCCCCAAGTCCCAGTTCTCTTGGTTCCTTCGCTGTTCCTTGCCAGTGGTCCGAACATTCGAGGTATCTGCAGCCAGCGGAGGACCTAGGCTTCAGAGTGGCTGGCACGGTGCCCCACACTCAGCTTCAGTTGCAGGTTCAGCTGTCTTTGAACTGTGCCAACTTCTCCTCCCCCCACACCTATTGTCACAATAATTCTAATATGCAGAGTTTTAAAAAAAATTTTTATTTATTTTTGGCTGTGTTGAATCTTCGTCGCTGCATGCGGCCTTTCTGTAGTTGTGGCGAGCGAGGGCTACTCTTTGTTGCAGTGCGTGGGCTTCTCATTGCGGTGGCTTCTCTTGTTGTGGAGCATGGGCTATAGGTGCGTGGGCTTCAGTAGTTGCAGCATGTGGGCTCAATAGTTGTGGCCCTCGGGCCCTAGAGCATGCGGGTTTCCGTAGTTGTGGCTCGTGGGCTCTAGAGTGCAGGCTCAGTAGTTGTGGTGCACGGGCTTAGTTGCTCCGCGGCATGTGGGATCTTCCCGGACGGGGGGTCGAACCCATGTCCCCTGCGTTGGCAGGCGGATTCTTAACCACTGCGCCACCAGGGAAGTCCCACATATAGTGATTTTATCCCTATTCAAAGACAAGGTGGCTGAAGCTTAGAGACATTAAATAACATGTCCAATATCCATGTTTAAGGGCAGATTTAGGATTTGATCTCAGTTTTGTCTGTTGAATGAGCTTTTGAAAATACACTAATGTAGGTATATAGTAAGCATCATAGTTTAGTCCTGCAGTCCTGCCGAGGACTGAGTGGAGGCTACACAAGAAACAGAATTTCTTTTCTTCTGTGCTGGCTTCCTGCCTTTCGGTTAGTTCATAGGAGACAGCCGAGGAAGAAGGCATGGGAAAGAAGCCATAAAATATGAGTGAACAAAGGGAGCCAAAGGGTAGTGGAGACGAGCTGGTGGTGTTGGTGCTGTCGGCGGTAGAGATGGGTGGCATTGGCACGCTCGTGATGCTAGCTGGGGCCGTGGCAGCCCCGGTGGGCTTCGTGGTGTGGTCCGTCTGCTGCTAGCGCTCAGAAGTAGGGGAGCAGATTGAAAGCTGCCTAAACATTTGCAGTGTTACTTCACCCTAGCTTCCGCTCCCTCCTTTCATTCTGCTGATAGAACGAACCTCCCTCTGCTGTAAAGGAGGAGTCTTCTTTCTGGCCTAGCAAACCCCACGCAGCTCAGCCAGGCTGCAAGGCTTGGTTGAGGCCTGGACCCCTGTCTTTTCCCTGTGAGTAACTTGACCTCCAGCTGCAGACTTGGACCTCCTATATTCTGTTCTGTAACTGCACTGTCTCTAAAACGCCAGCATGTGACTCCGTGGGTGCTGTGCCCTGCCCCTGCAGTGGGCCTGGGAGCTAAAATACATGGCTCAGGATTCCAGTTCTGCAACTTTCTGTCTGTGTGATTCTGGCCCAGTGCCTTAACCTCTTTGAGCCTCTGTTTCCTCATCTCTGAAATGGGGGGAAATAACACTACTTCACAAGGTTAGAATGTGGATAACGAAGTGAGTTAATTATCTAGAACGTGGCAGGCGCTTTATACATGGTGTCCCTTATATTAATTATACACACTCTGAATGGAGTCAGTGCGTCTCTCCACTGGGGGAAGCTGATGAGAAAACGGGGGGGTATCAAAGTGTATTTCTTCACTGACCAGAATAGATTTTCCGTTAAGAAACTTACTTTCAAACGCATGCAGAGCGGTCCAGTTCCTCGCAAGTGAAGTGTTGTTCTCTTGACTTGGCAAGGGCATGGCGTGCTCTGAGCCACTTACTGTCGTGTGTCATCAACAAAACACAACAGTAAACAATTTGTGTTTGGCCTTCGTGACTCTGATCTCAGGTATCTGCCCACAGCCTGGTCAAGCTCTAGAGGCACACTTCAAATAACCCTTAGATAAATATCATTTCCTCTTAAGAGGAACCCAGCAACCTAATGAATCATATTAAAATAATTCCTGACTGTACATTTGCCTAGTGTTAAATGTTCATAAGCTTTATTCTGAACAACTCAGGTGCCGTTAGACTTAGAGCTGTTACAGGAATTTTATCGTCTCTCCTTTTTCATAAATGTGTGTGTTTATTTAAAAATAATTTGCACAGAGTTGAGAGCTTAAATTTTCTAAAAGGAAGAAGGGAATAATTAATTGTGTATCTCCCTATTTCTATCTATAGACCATCTCACTAAATATCTAGATCTGAAACTCTATGAGATTGATAAATATGCAAAAATCTATGCTATCGGAAGTTGAAACGAACATGTTTAAATGAGTTGTTTTTTATAAAGTGTTCGCACAGTTCTTAACAGTTTATAAAATCAGCTCCTTTTGAATATTTACTAGTGCCTTCGTTTGATGATTCTAACTCATACTATGTCCAGAAATTGTGTTTTCTTCACTTTGAAAGTGATTCATTTTTTTTCTTGCAATCGACTGGATATTGAGATCATGTCATGATGTGACTTAAACGTGATGTAACCTGGTGGGGGAAGGAATTATGTGACGTTGAGAAGGTCAGGTTGAATGAAGTGTTCCTAGTACCCTAAGGAAAGGAGATATTACACTCTATTGGTTTACAAGTCATGTTTCAAATGTTTTCTTTGAGGTTAGGACTCAGATCATCCCTTTGCTATATACACTTAGTAATTTGCTAATTCATTCCTCAGGCTTCTAAGTAGCATTCAGACAACCCTATTTGTCTCCAGTCCCCATCTATAAAGTGGATAGCATGCCTACCCTACAGGTGTGTCATGGCTAGCAAGGCATGAGTATTTACTGGGGGCTTATTTTAGCAAGAACTTAAGAAAGAAGTCATGGCCCTTAGCCTTCATAGAATTGACTATTGAGCCTTAGAGACCAAAGTGAAAGAAAACATTGTGAAAAAATGTTTTCATTGTTCCCTGAGAATTGAATACAGATACCAGGCCATGCAACCCCGGCTTCTGTCACTGCGCTGAGTGCATATCCGGCTCCCTGGATAGTCTGGCCTTTCCCCCTCATAGCCCAGACCTCCTGAAGCTGCATGTTGGATTTGAGAAAACAACCTTTCCAGATAAAGCAAGATCATTCTTTGTTATCAGTAGACACATGGCCACCCCTCCACCACCCACCCCCCGCACCCCCCCACCCCCGCCAGAAATTTCAAATAGCACTCAAGGTCCATTAGTAGAAGAATGAGAAGTGAAATTGGATCGCCCGTTGAGGGTTGAGCTTTGGGTCTTGAGTCGTATTTAGTGATTAGTTTCTGAAAAGCCTTCTGCTCCTCAAGCTGCAGCACACTTTGGTCTTCTCCTGGTCCCATTAGGGTCATGGTCCGCAGTGAGGAAACTCAGCTTCTGATAAGGAAGAAGCTTGAGGGTTTTTTCTTTTTCTTTTTTCCTTTTTGCAGGTAGTACAGGGGGGTCAGGAAGCAGGAGCAGAGGATGTCCCCTTGACCTATGAGATAAGAAAACAAACAAACCCATGTGAGGCAGGAGTGACATTTGTTCCGAGGCCTAATTTTAGAAGCAGAATGTGAGGAGATGAGTTGGAACACACATGGGCAGCTCCAGTGAAAAGTTGAGATGGAATGTTCTTGCTCTTACTCTGAATGTGCTGTGGGACCAGCATGCACTGGGTTTTGCAAACAGATAATTGCTGATAGATTATAGTTTTCTACTGGAGGGTCTGAGATAATCTGGCTGGCTCTCTGTGAACAAGGAAATAGACTCGGTAGGAGCTGAAGGATGAAAAGTAACTTTCCTACATTAACCATCTAGGAAGCAGGTAGGAAGGGGAAGTAGAAACCCCCCAGAAGGATGACTCCCTTGATTGAATCTTCATGGTGCTTTGCAATTAGGGGCCCTAAAGGGGAAACTGGAAGACTGAAGGCTGTCTAGATAAGGGGTGGCAGATACATGACATAAATACCACCCTCTTCTTTTCCAGGCCATGGCAGATACCGCCAATCAATCATGGCACTTCTTCCTGCTAAGATCTTCAGTTCTTTTATGCTGAGATCTACAAAATTATGAAGACCACCTCTTCCTGTGTGAGTTCTCATTTTGTACTTCTGGTTGGAATAAATTAGAAATCACAAGACATCAAGAAACTGATACAAATCAAAAGGTTTCACTCTCCCTTTATTCCAGTTTATTGTGGTGGTCACGAAGTCTCTTAAAGTGAAGTTGATCTTGGTGATTTATTCTGGTCGAGGCACTTGTCTTATTTTTTTATTTTTATTTTTTGCATAATGAGATTAATGTTAATTTTCAGAGACCGACTCATACTAACCAAGCTTTAGAAAACTAATGTTGTGGTATAATAAGATATATACATGGGCTTTGCTCCCAGTTCTTGGTACAGAGCTCCTAAAACTCGGCATTTCTTGAGTGAAAGGACTGCCTTTTGTTATTCATAAGAAGATCCTTTTCAGCACATCTGAGTTTATGCTAATGAGGTGACTTAAAGTGTCCCCTGGATAGCCTGGGATGGGGCAGATTATCAGCAAGACCAAGCAATTAGAGGGTAGGAACTTTCAGCCCCCATCCACAGCCTCTAGGAAGGGCAGCGGGAGGAAGGCTGGAGATTAACACTCTACAAAAACTCTTGAACAATGATAGGTGATGAGCTTCCAGGTTGGTGAACACATAGAAGTGCTGGGAGGGTGGTGTGTCTGGAGGGAGCATGGCAGCTCCATGACTCTCCCCCCTTGCCCGAAGTATCTCTTCCAGCTGGCTCTTCCTGAGTTGTATTCTTTTATAATAAATCAGTAAACGTAAGTAAATGTTTCCCTGAGTTCTGTTAGCTATTCTAGCAAATTATTGAGCAAGAGAAGGGGGGTCAGGGGAACCTGATTTATAGCTGGTTGGTCAGAAGTGCAGGTGACAGCATGGACTTGCAATTGGCCTCTGAAGCGGGGGTGGGAGGTAGAGGAAGGGTGGGTGTGGCGAGACTGAGCCCTTAACCTGTGGGATCTGCTGCAATCTCCAGGTAGGTAGTGTCAGGATTGAATTTGTAGGGTACCAGTTTGTGTCTGCCCGAGATTGGGGAATTGCTTGGAGAAGGAAAAACCCACACATACTTTTAGCTTGCCCTGGGCCTTATCTACCTGAGAAGTAAAATTATCGTGAGAAAGTTTCTTGGGAATTATGGAACCAGAACTAAAAGAATCAGTTGCCTGCATTCCTTTATTCGTTTATTTTTTTGATCATTCTACATTGAAGACAAAGAGTCTGCTCTCTTAGGGCCTACATGGCAAGGAAGGGGGTAGATGATCAACAAGGAAACAATGAATGAACAAAGTTATTTCCAGTAGTGTTACATGGTATAAAGGGTATAAGACAGGATATTGTGGTCGTGAATCAAACATTTGATTCACGCTTTATCAGCAGACTGGCCTTTCTACAGTTGGTAAATTCCTGACACCAGAAGCGGAATGACTCAGGCCTCGGGCAGGGACACGCCTTCTCCCTTGGACGGTGCTCTAACGGGGACTGCAAAACATGCCTCAGTGTGTCCTGCTCATAGACCCCTTCACATCGATCAGCGATCCTTATGCTGGGGAGCGGAGTGGTACAGAGTTGTGGTTAAGAGCAGGAGCCCTGCAGCTGGGACAGACCTGGAGACATACCCTGATTGTGCCACTTTTAGTCATTCAACAAACGTCCATTGAGTATATATTATGTACCAGGTGCTGTACTGGTGCTAAAGACAGGCAGTGAACAAATACATATGAAATATGACATTTATCTTTGGACACCTATGTTCACAGCAGCATTATTCACAATAGCCAAAAAGGTGGAAACAACCCAAGTGTCCACTGATGGATGAACGGATAAACCAAAGGTGGCATAAACACACAATGGAATATTATTCAGCCTTAAAAAGGAAGGTAATTCTGACCCATGCTACAGCGTGGATGAACCTTGAGGACACTATGCTGAGTGAGATAAGCAGTCACAAAAGGACAAATACTGTGATGTGAGGCACCTAGAGTACCTCACATCAGGTACACATAAATTCATAGAGACAGAAAGTAGAAGGCTGCTTGCTGGAATCAGGGGGAGAGATGGGGAGTTGGTGTTTAATGGGTACAGAATTTCAGTTTTGCAAGACGAAAAGAGTTCTGTGGATGGATGGTGGTGATGGTCGCACAACGATACACTTAAAAATGGTTAAGATGGTACATTTTATATCGTGTGTGTTTTACTACTATAAAAACAACATAAAACTAAAAGGGCCCTTAAACACTGAGAAGAATACAGCAGGTACAGGGGATAGAGAGTGGCCTGGGTAGTTGCTGTTTTGGGAAGGGTGGTTTAGGCATAGCCTCTCTTAGGACATGACAGAAGAGACCCAAAGGAAATGAGGGTACAGGCCATGAGGACATTAGAGAGAACATTCCAGACAGAGGGAAGAGCAAGTGGAGGGAGCCTGAGCTGGGAGCAGGCTTGGTGTGTTTGAGGATCAGCCAGGAGGTCCTGGATTGGACTGGAGGGGGCGGGGGTGAGCAGACAGGAAACGAGGTTTGAGAGGGAGACCGAGGCCAGATCAGGTCGCATCCCGCCACCACGGTAAGGACCTCAGGTCGTTCTCCAGGTCAGCTGGGAAGTCACTGGAGGGTTTTGATGGAGGGGCGACATGGTCTCAGTTATATTTTCAAAGGAATCATCCTGACTCCCTGGCAGAGAATAGACCTCAGGGGACCAAGAGTGGAGGCAAGATGACCAGTAAGGAAGCCGATACGGCTAGAAAGCAAGTCAGGGTGAGGGACGAAGGTGGCGTGGACAAGGGTGGTATTGGTGGAAGCAGCAAGAGGCCGTCTGATTCTGCGTGTTAAATGTTGAAGGTAGTGGACCAGTGTGACGGTAGTTAACCAGATAACTTTTACGCAACAGGGTGATGGCCGGCTCTTCTGGTCTAACAGTCTCCCCACTGAGGCCCCTTCACTCCCACACGAGGTCTGTGCCCACCCAGCTGCCTCTGCCCACCTCTGCTTCTCATCACCGAGGCCCAAGGAACACTGGGTCCTTGATCAGCCGTGGAGGCCCCGGGTGCTGCCTCCAAACGTCCCTCTACCTGCCTCCCCACCCCCACTCGGCACCACTCCTCCCGCTCCAGGGGGCAAAGGCCAACTGCCATCAAGGTCCCCAGAAGCGAGCCCATATCTAACCTGATGCATCTCAAGCCCCGCCCCTTTGCGAGAGGCGGGCCTTTGGGGTGTGGGCTTCGCAGCCTCTGGCCCTGAATTTCTACCTCTTCTTCATCTTCCTTCTCTCGTTCATCCGCCAAGAAGCATCAGGGCTTCCCTTCTTCCTGGAGGGGACCTGCGTCAGGTGGGACTCCCTGAGCTGGTTTGCCGGCCTTGCTGCTTGAAATGTTAAAGGGGAGATAACGGGATTTTGAAAACCCTTTTCTCTCTTGACAAAGCCTTTGCATGGATTTGATAACCCTTTTATAGATGGTAGACGTTGAACTTGAATCTGTCTTTTTCTTGGTTTCCTTACTTGAACATTCTAATGTTCTCCCCTGCAACACTCCTCCCCCACCCCCCGAGCTAGGACGAAGGTCATTTGCAGAGAAATGCCAAAAAGAAAAGCACAGTGATAGATTCCAAGGTACTACACCTCTCACATAAGTGGACTTTAATAATGTGAAGCAGTTTCCATAAGTTTCCCAAGGCAGAGTTGCCTGTGCCCACGAGCTGTCTCCAGCGCCGCAGGGAATGGCGGTGCCTTGATCTCCTCTGCCTGGTGCTGCATGGACCAGGCTCATCCCTTGCCCCGACTGTTTGGTTGAGGACATTTTTGGAAACTCTCCAGAGAAAAATGTTAAAACCAACCTGAAACAGGTTGTCACTGGCATGGAGCAAAGCAGGAGGTGTGGAAACGGGCAGCCGTTTGGAGGTTTGCAGTCGGATGCAGTCGGATGGAGGTTTCTTGAAAGTTCAAGGGAACCATGGATACAAACACAGGGTGTAAGGTCAGGACCTTGGGCGCAGGGTGGGGACACTGGACAGGAAGAGAAAGACCCCAGACTCCTGTTGGAACCAAGTCAGTCGCCGTTTTCAGCGCTGGACTGGCATGTGGTCCAGCGGGCTGGAAGTAAGTTCGGAGGGTGGTGAGTTGCAGAAGCTGTGGGCTGTGGTCCAGGCACTGCCCCTCATGAGTTGTGTGGTTAATTTCCAAGACTCAGTTTCTTTATCAGTAAAATAGGAACAATAGTGTGATCACCCCAGTCCAACCCATTTCACAGGTTTCCTGGCCACCTGGTGTATAAAAGGGCTGCGTAAATTCCTAGGTTGGGACACATGGGGGCTGGGAGGCAGCAGTTGTCCCCAAGGCAGAGATGTCATGATTCGCAGTCTTCCGAGACCCCTGCCTGGGAGCCTGGACCACTCGCCTGGGTCCGAGGGTTCAGTGGGCTTCTCATCCCTTACCAGGAGTGGGGATATTTGGAGGCAACTAGAAAGCTCTGTGTGGTGCCCCCAGTGGGGTCGTCCGGGGCTGCTGACTGCTTTTACTTAGCAACAGGCGTTTCAAATGCACAACACGAGAGTGTAGGCCCTAGGAATGCAGCATTTTTGAGCAGCGATGTACAGCATGCCGGCTGTAAAACATTGCCGTGTTCACACTAGTGCTCAAGACATGTGAAGAGAAACGAATATATTACTGCTGGAATATTTCTGTATTGAGGAGAACCTTGCCATTACCCTTCAGAGCCTTCTGGAAGAAATTAGGATCATTTTTAAGAGGCCTGCTTGAACGCAGTGAAGCATCCATTCCTTTTATTTTATTCCTTACACATTTACAATTGGAAAATTTCATTATTCTGGAATTATTAAGTAGTTGGGGGAAGGATTACTTATTTTTAAATTTATTTTTGAGAGCTCCTTTCCTTATTTCTTTTCATGTTAAAAAATGTATTCTCTCAGAAGCCGATTTGTTTTTCTTTTTTTGGCGTGTGTGTGTTGAAAAAACCTTGGCCTGAGCTTGAGAGGCTGACCTTTAACTTCAGAGGAGGAAGTGCGGTGTCGGGCAGCTGGGGAGG